GAGGAATTTATCAAAACTGTAGCAAACAAAATCTGGAGCAGCTGCGCAAACCAATCAGCTTCTCTCTTTCATTTTCAGATCTTAACTGAACAAACTGAACAGAGAAGCTGATTGGTTTCCCTGGGCAACTGCTCCAGATTTTGTCTGCTCCAGTTTTGATAAATCTCCCTCATTATCTCTTTGATATGTTTATTGAATAGGTTTATCACATTTTTTGAGGGTCATGCACATTTGCTCAGACACGGAAGATTGTGAAACAGTTACGGACAATGTACAGTAAATTCCTAGAGAGGGGTTATCCCGATTGCGTTTTGCAACGCACACTGATGACAGCAAGGAACAGACTACAGACACCTAAGCCTTTAACCAATGATAGTGAAAAAACAATGCTCATTATCACATATAACTCTGAGTCACGCAATGTCAAAAGTATATTGAGTCAAAACAACTGTATTCTTCAGGCGCATAAATCACTGACACCCATTTTAAAACAGACACCATGTGTCATCTACTCAAAAAACAAATCGATCAGAGACCATCTCGTTAGAGCAGACCCCACGAGCAAATATGAATCTACAGGATACATTTTTTCATCCAGGAAAGGGTGTTTCAAATGTTTCAATTGCATTATTTGTAATTCCATCATATAGTGGGGGATTCATTTACCCATCCCTATAAGGGCAATAAATATTCGGTTCCCGGATATTATGATTGAAATACCGATCATTGCGTATACATGCTCAAGTGTCCCTGTTCCCTTGTTTATGTAGGAAAAACAATCAATCCATTTACCATAACAATGCTCTACTATGCAGAAAAGCATTTTGGATACACACCCTTGATACGATGCACCTAGGGGTCTCAATAGCACATTATCTTACACATGCTTTCTAAAGTGTTTCTTTTCCCATGTGTGTGGTGTGTGCTGACATTGGCTATACATTCAGGAGTCTGCAACACCATTATGATGATGGATGGATTCCCCCCTTCCAGACCCGCAGGTACTAGAAGCGATCAGGCGTCCCTAGAGATGCCCGATCGCTTGAATGTAAACATGCATCGCTGGTTGTTTACATTGCTGACAGTTTCCTCACTAGTGTGCACGCTGGGCGTCGCACACGAGCGGGGGGAGGGGCAGGACATCTTAAGACGCCCTCCCGCTCCTGTAAGGCTCCCGTCCGGCCGTTCAGGAACATGATAACATGATTCATTCACAAGACTTGTCACGTTTTTTAGAGATGTTTCTTTGGCTTATGGATTGTGTACTTCTGTGATACCATTTTGTGATATATCAGGAAGTCGGGCGGTGGATCATGACCCGTCGCCCGGCTTCCTGATTGCCTGGGAAGCCAGTGTTCTATCAAAAAAACACCATTGCTAGACAGCCTGGTTTCCTGACTATTCATGAGTCATGACGTGCCGCCCGGCTTCCTGATTGGTTAGGAAGCCAGGCTGCCTACCAACAAGTGAAGCTGGCTTCCTAGCCAATCAGGAAGCCAGGTGGCATGTTATAACCCACTTCCCAGCTATCTGATTGGCGGGGAAGCCGGCTTCACTTGTTTCTAGGCAGCCTGGCTTCCTGACTAATCAGGAAGCCGGGAGGCGGTTCATTTTATGTCGGATTGGAAAGGAAGCCAGCTCCATGCTCCCTCTGCACTGCCGGCCAGAGGGAGTTCTCCCTCTGACCGGAAGTTTCTGTATCGGAGGATTTGGGCATCCCTACTGCAAACCATTATGCACTGCTTCCACAAGGACAGAAATAGTGTTCTTAAGCTTAGCAGAGATGTCAGGACATAGGTCCTCGTCTTGGACTGAGACAAGAGAGCATGAAGTAGCCACTTCTTTATTTTCTTCCTCAAGGAGTGCAAAGCAGAAAGAGAAAGTTCAAAGGACTCTAAGAGGGAAGAAGAGCATGCTCCCCTCAAGACTCAAATGGGATAATTTTTCCCATAAATCCTCTAGATAGCAGGGTAGGAGAGGGCGTCCAGGCAGGTGCAAAAGTGGAACCTAAAGTGTGGAGGAGGAGCAAAGCATAGGGCTAATAGAAACAGTGTCTCCTGAGGGGACAGAACCTTCCCCAGAACCGTTGTGAGCATGTGTGGCCCCAAAGTCTGCAACCCCTACATCCCTGCACCTATGATCTGACTTTCTCTGAGAGGGAACCCCAAGTTCTCACTACTATAGTGGCTGGAGGGGTGTCTTGTGCCCCAAAACTGTAGGCAGAAGCAGTAACCCAGTATAGTGGTGCAGAGATTTGAACCCTGTGTAGAACTGCAGCAGCTATGTGTGAAGTGCTCCGTGTGCCAGGAAAGAAAGATGGCAGGCACATGCAAATTACAGTACCCCAGCAGGAGGTGGCGCAGATGCTGTTCGGCATAACAGACCACCTATGGGACACAAAAAGTGACCAATTTAAAAAATATGAGGGACAGTGATCCCCCCCCCCCCCCACCCCCCAATTTTCCCC